AGTTAGGAGCCAGGTAAGCCAAAACTCTTACGATATAGTGATGATGCCTGCTATATTGGAGGCATGTACCCAACTGCCTTTGCACCCAATGGCAATCGGTGCAAAGAAGTGGTATCTAAGTCTACAAAAGAGTCAGGAAGACATCCCAGAGTGATAGTTTTAATAATAAACAAATGTAGCTTGTTAGGTCTCCACATATAGGCCCAATTTTCCTTTCAGACCTTCACTGAAGGCAAGCATCACATATGTTAACACAAAAGAAATTCTGACTATACTTTTTTCTTGCTGATTGACCTTCTGTACTTAGTCCTCCCGTTAATAAAAAGTCTACCTTAATGCTCGCAAGGAATTCATGTTTCTTTAGTGAAAGTCACTTTTTCCTCTTCCTGTCGTTGGGAGTCCTGGAAGATCGGTTTCAGAGCAGCATAATGCTGAATGAGATTACGCTCATCTGAAATGAAGTTGTTCCTTTTTCTCTTGTAAACTCCAGATCAACAGTGTCAGTCTCCGACTCCAGTGGCAGACCTGTAGGAAGAAGGTTCATTTCCACATTGGTTTTCCACACTCAAAACACAAGGAAGGATGTTGAAATTGTTTAAAATGATTAACAATAAGCTCTCCTACTTTTCTCCTTTTTCTGGATTAGTTTTCCTTGTGAGCCATCCATGGGAACTCATACTTAAGAGCTTGATCTTCACTGACATGAATGAGACTAATGGTACCTTACAAGCAGCCCCTTTATGTCTATTTGCTCAATCAAAACCACACTTAATCACTGCATTGCATTCTGTGGCTTTGACAAATCCTCAGGTTAGACTCTTTGTCAACTTCTGTCTCTTAGTAGTTTTCTTGATCTAATTGGAATGTTTGCATTAAAACACATTTTCATATCTATTAACAAGAAAGTAGAAAATAATGGTCAGACTTTAGGCATCCTTTTATGATTTAAAACTGGTCTAACTATATATATATATATCTCAACTCAAGAGAAGTTCAGTTAGGTATATAATATTATAATAAAAAGGTTTCTGCCCTTCGCTCTCCCTCCTTCCCTCACAGAATGGTGTTCTGAACAGTAACACTAAGAAAGGAGAAAACATTTTGAGCTGAGACCGACTTGCAACTTACTGGCCAGGGATATATTGACTGGCATGTACATGTGACTGGCACTTTTGCTCATTGGAAAGGCATAACAGCCTTCTTAATAACATGCTGAGGTTGGAGGAGTGGCATGCGACAAAATTCAATTTGTTTCATGCAAGTGTCAGTAGACAAAAGGGATATGATTTGAAGGGTCAGGGCAGGCAACACTAGTTCTGGATGTTCTGGGGCCTGAGACTATAAAGCAGACACTATAAAGTGTTTGTGATGAGATGAGGCATCCATGGGCCAGCCCCGGAGATGGGGCCAGCAGCAGCCCCAGCCAGCTTGCTGGGGTTCAGAGCCTGGCTCCAATGTTGTAGAGGTTCAGAAGAGAGTTGCAACCCAGTGCCAAAGACCAGCTGTGAACCCTGGTTATTTTTAGTGAAGCTAGATAGGAATAGCGGGTCCCTGGTGACCACGCGGCATCTGATTCACTTTCCATCGTAGGCAACTAAGAGGAGTAGAGGAGCAACATCCCCATGGAAGGGCATGTAGGATATGAGCTGGGCTGGGGAAGGCTAAAGGTTTCAGCCGATTGTGGTGGAGTTCACAGTTGGAATCCAGTCCTATTGGGAGTGGCCTGAGAATGAAGAACTGGGGACTCAGAAGGGAGAACAAGGAGGCAGGCTGACCACACATGAGAGACTAGTATCAATACTTCTCAGAGTCCAGTGTAGCATTTCTGCCTACATCTCATTGCCCAGAATTTAGACTACATTGCCACAACTCCCAGCAAAAGGCTGGGAAATGTAGTCTTTATTCCAAGTGAGAGTGCTCCCAGACAAAACTTGGGATTCTCTTCAGGAAGAAGAGAATTGATAAAAGGAGGCAATTACCACTTTCCACCGCAATCGTCACACCCTCTGTAAGAGCATTGGCTTTTTCCTTTTCAGTCCTGACTCTGCCATTTGCCAGCAGTATGACCAAGAGCAAGTTAATAAATTTACCTGAATCTCAGTCCTAGCATCTATGAAAGGGTCATATCACTACCTAGTCCACAAGTTTGTGAAAAATGAAATACAATTAACACATGTCAAAGGTACTAGATACGCACTGGTTCCCCTTGTCATAAAGCTGGTTCCGCTTTTCTTTTGACCATTTTCCTATATCATTTTCCTTGTATTATTTTGATTCCTTGATCAAGATTACCTTGTGGGATTCATTTTCGCCAGATCTTATCCATGAAGATAAGGAAAGGAACTCATCCAATGAAATTATTCTCAGGTCCTATATCTTCAAGGAAAGAAGTTGGTAATGTAATAAAACTTATTATATGAATTATTGGCATTTAACAATTATAGTTTTTATTTTAAATTTAAAATATTTTAAATTTATAGTTTTTAATTTTGAGGAAATTTACTAATTTGGGTCCCGAATAGTGCCTTAAAAACAGTTAAGTGTGTCATCCTGAAAACAAAACTAAGGTCAGAGTTTATTAAAAGTAGTTATATTTAAAATTCAAAAAATAAAAATAAAAATAAAAAGTTATATTTTTTGTGTCTGCCCTAAATAAAGTCCATAGTTTGTGGAACCTTAACACTACAATACCTGCTGCCTTACAGTAGTAAGACATTTTAGCAACATATTCTTCTTGTCATATGACTGTCACCTGTTAGACTTCATTATAATCATGGACTCATGCCTTTGGCTCCAGCTCTTGTTTGCTAAGGCAATGTTGAACTTAGATTAGATATGAACACTGCTAAACTCAGTGGTTGAAAAACTCCCTTCAGAAGTGCAGTACTTGGTTGTCCTCCTTTTGACCTCTTTGCATTTTCTTTCTTATGCTGGCAACCATAGGAATAATTAGGAGAGGTAAGGTTGGCACAGATCCACTCCTTTACTGCATGGAAAGTAACAGTTGCACTAGTGCTATATCAATAATGATTTGGCAGAAACAATGGAGGGTTGAACCTTGAAACAGTAGCTATTCTAGCTTTTGAAGGATTGTGGGAGAAAGAGAGAGGATGAAGAGGTTATGCCTTTGTACTCCTATCTCTGCTCTCCCATGAAATGCACTTTCCAGCCCCCCGAGCCCCTTCACTTTTCCCTCTACAGGTCATTGATGCCCTTCCCTACTTGATCATTCCCTTCCACGTTGACTCATTCATCCTTACCTCCTTCTGTTGATCTGACTCTGTGTCCTCCCTCAAGATGAACACTGAATGGGAGCTTTGGAAATACAAAGATTCCTATGAGCTAGTGCACCTGATCCTCAATTTTCTGCTCTGTAAAATGCTAATAAAACCTACTTCTTAGAGTTATTTTGAGGATTAAAAAATATGCATATGTACACATTTCTAGGCATACAGTAGGCATTCTATAAATGTTGGTTTATTTCCCTACATACTACTCTCTCTCCTCTGACCATTTCCATGTTCCTTTTGCCTCAAAAACTTTGCTATTCAAAATATGGTCCAAGGACCAGAAACACTGGAAATGTCAAATCTCAGCATCCCCCCTGGACCAACTGAATCAGAATCTACGTTTAAACAACACCCTCAGGTATTCGATACACATGCTAAAATTTGAGAAGCACTGCTCTAAAACAAAGATTCTCTCTCTTTCTATCCTTTTTCCAAAGGGGAAAGAATAGTGGACACCACTGATTGTGTGCCTACTCTGTGCCAAGTGTTTTTTTCCTAACTTAAAGTTTTTACTTTTCAATTACAGTTGGCATACGTTATATTGGTTTCAGGTGTACAACCCAATGATTAGACATTATATATCTTTTCTAAATTATTTATTTATTTTTTCAAATACATTTGTCTCTGCCTTCCCCCGACCACTTTCTCTTGCCCCCTCCCTCCCTCAACTCTTCCCCTTTGGTTTTTAGACATTATATATCTTAGTAAGTGATCACCCTGATAAATCTTACACCCATCGGACACCATGTATAGTTATTACAATATTGTTGACTGCAGTCCCTATGCTGTACTTTCCATCCCTGTGACTATTCTGTAACTACCAATGCTGGTTTTTGACCACCACTTCCCTCATCCTCACTCTCTGCGGTTGGCCCTGCCATCTTCCTTTACCTGTGAAGAAACAGGGTCAAAAGAATTTAACTCCTCAGGCCAAGAACAAGTAGGAATGACACAGATGAGACTTATACTCAAGTCTTTTTGCCTGAACACTTTTCACTCCTCAGAACCATGTGGGCTGACAGTCTTTTATTCCTGGAGAAGAGGACAAAAGTGAAAAAAACACGTATAGAAATTGAAAACAAAACCAAACAAAATGAGAGACATGAACACACTAAAGGTAACCTTGAGTTTCAATGAAATCAGTAGAGAACAACTTCCTTGATGACTAATTCCAGCTGTCTTCAATTTGTTTCCAGATTCCTTGACCTTTATTCGATATTGACATGTATTTTGGCACCTAATAAACTGTGATAAAATGTTTCACAAACACAAAGTGGTTATTTAGTTTTCAGCTTATTTAGTGAAATGATATACCAGCTGATTGTGGCATTGAACCCAGTATGTGATTGCGTTGCTTTGTTCATGAGTTTTTTTTCAGGTATATTTCTTCTTTCAACCATTACAGATTCTAAGATTGTTAGGAAAGGGCAGCCCCTCCCTTGCTTGGTCCCTCCCTCCCTTCCTACCTCCCTTCCCCGCTCCTTCCATCTTTTCTACCTTCCTAATGGCAAGGGGAAAAATGCCTATAGTGTTTATATTTCTGGAATGGGAAATGAATTTAACTTTATGTTATTTAATAATTTTAGTTTGGCGAGTCTTCTTCCTGACCAGCTGGTCTTGGTATTTGTGTCTTGGAGCTGCTGATAGCAAGATGTCTTTAGGAAATGCTAAATTGGGCACCCTGTCCAATTTTAAAAAGCCTCGGCCGTTATGCCAGATGGTCAGTTCAAAGATACCAGCCTATCTGACTACAGAGGAAAATATGTGGTGTTCTTCTTTTACCCTCTTGACTTTACCTTTATGTGCCCCAAGGAGATCATTGCTTTCAGTGATGGGGCAGAAGAATTTAACAAACTCAACTACCAAGTGATTGGTGCTTTTGTGGATTCTCACTTCTGCCACCTGGCATGGCTCAACACATCCAGGAAACAAGGAGAACTGAGACCCATGAACATTCCCTTGGTATCAGACCCCAAGCGCACCATTGCTCATGACTATGGGGTCTTAAAGGCTGAAGGCACCTCATTCAGGGGTCCCTTTACCTCTGACGATAAAGGTATCCTTTGCCAGACCACTGTAAATGACCTTCCTGTTGGCCACAGTGTGGCTGAGACTCTGAGACTAGTTCAGGCTTTCCAGTTCAATGACACCCATGAGGAAGTGTGCCCAGCTGGCTGGAAACCTGGCAGTGATACCACCAAGCCTGATGTCCAGAAGAGCAAATAATATTTCCCTAAGCAGATGTGAGCACTGGGGCACTATAGGGTGTACAGCCATGAGAACAAAACCTCTTTTTTACTATTGCCATGCTTAAAACACAAGATCTTAGATTGGGACAGATGCAGTATGTGATGAAGCAGGCCTTTCTGGCGCAGTTCGGGGAGGCCAGCCTTTCATTTTGTGGAGGAAATGGCCTGAACTTATGGAGCAGGCCAACTGATATGTACCGTCGTAGGGCATCACCTTTTATCTTTTGTAGTTTCTATTAAACTTGAACTGAGACACAAAAATAATGATTTTAGCTTAACTGCAATGAACAGATTATGTTTTATATTACTGCTTCTCTTGATTTGAGCAAGGAATCTATTCCATTTCAGATCAAGAGACTACCTCCTATCTTGTCTTTTGTATTAATCATGATATCTTAAATTTCATGCTATGTCAATAAACTCCCTATTATTTTTTGAAATAAAAAAGGCATGAAAACATTAACTGAAATATTTGAATTTCTAATGTAGTTATTAATAATTACACCAATGATTCCATATACATCAAAATAAATAAAATCTGATAATTGACCAACGTAGAATATACTTTACATTCTTTTATAATGTTATTAAGCAATAGAGGTAAGCTGGATCCAGGAACTGATTTTTAATCTTTTGGAAGGGTCATTCTTAGAAGAAAATGTTTAACCTTTTTAAGATTCTTAATTCTCTTGAAGAGCTCAAGATACATGCTATGAATACAGATGTACTCCTTATTTGAACTATCAAAATTAATAAACTATTAATTTACCAATTTACCAATTTTTCCATACTTTGAAACTTAATTCATTAGCACTATAAGCTGATGCTACCATCAAGCTATGCAACAGGTGCTCCCCAGAACTCACTGACTTCTGCCCGCTGTCCAGTCTCCCGGACCCTCAGCTCTCCCTCTTTTCTGAGTTCTAAAATGCTTTTCCATCTCTTCTTCTGCTCCAGGACACCCTGGGTCATGTCTTCTATAGACCTAGGCTTTTCAAAAGATGAGAAGTGCCTCTGACTTCATATGTATATGTGTTCAGCACTAAAAATTACTAAGGTAAGAAGTTACAAAGGACTTTCCTCTTTGCTTAGGCTGGAGGAGGAGAATTGGGTAAACTAAAATTTTTAAAAATTATCCTGACACAGCTTCCTCAAAGAGGTTTTTATCTTGGGATTTCATGAAGACAATAAAGACATCCATGTTTGATTAAGTCTACTCTGGAGTAAAGTTTCTATAGGTACACTTTACTATGAACTACATTAAAGATAAGTGTGTATATGATTCTGAAATAAATTTCCAGTACCTCCTGGAGCTGGGAAGAACTTGGAGCCCAGGTTTAGATCTGATCTGTGTTCCCTTGTAGCATTTCCTCTCTTAACTTCAGCTTATGGAGGCATGCAAATTTCATATGTTAGGAAGAGATATTCTTTACTTGGTGTCTAAGAGGAAAATAGATTTCCAAAGCATTTCCTTTGTAATATCATTAAACATTCCTCCTGCTCTATATATGTATCATGTACATGTATATGACATATATGTCATTAGATATCTGATACATATGATTTATATTATATGTCAATGTTATATCTGACACATGAGATACAGATTTTGTATATCAACCATTTTTGTTTTATGGATTCAGTATTTTACCTTTTCTCTTTGAAGGTACTGATCATAGTTTTTTGAAATTGTTTTTGTACCTTGCAGTATTCTCTAATGCAGGAAACTATGTTTTATATATATGCATCTCTAAATAAATAATCATAATTTTAGGTTCATGTATTTTACATTCATATTTCAGGTATAATAAATAAACATCCATGTATAGATTGCTTTAAAGACACTTAATTACATAACTCCACGTGAAAATAATTTTAAAAGAACAATACAATATTTTTCCAGAGTGAACTAATAATAAACACTCTAATGCATGTTATGTCCTCCTGAAATGTGTGATATAGAATTTTATAAATTATATAATTTTAATTTTAAAAGTATTATGATATAATGATCAAATTCCTTCTGGAAACATTTTTGGAAAGTGAAAATTTGACTGACAGTTTATCTCTTTACATCATGATGAGATGGTTAATAATATGGGCTCAGAAATAGCACTGCATGGTTTTGAATCCCGCCTTCGCAAGTTCTGTGTGATGTTGAACAAGTTACTTATCTCTCAGAACATCCATAAAATGAGGATAATAATAATAAATGAGAATGGAATGAAAGATAGATGTAAAGCACTTAGAACTCTGGCTGGCACATATTTAGTACTTAGTAAATATTAGTTATTATTCATTTTTATAAGATTAGGCACCACTGTAAATGATCATAGTATGTAATTCATCCCACCAATTATTTATGGATAACTGTTACTTATTCTTTTGTTAAAAGTCATGTGTATGATATATTTGATGTATGTGCTTCTTATAATAATGAAGCTTCAAAAAATTCACCATGTATTATTAAATGTGACTGTCTTGAAGAGCTATTAAGTGTGAGCTTAATCATTGCAGTGGAAAAACCTTACTATAAAATCAATATGGAACTCTACCATAAGACTCTCTGATACCTACCCACCTGCTAAACAACACCTACATTCTCACACGTACTCTCACACATGCATAGCAAAAGGGACAGTTTGCCTCAATGTTTGCATGCAAGAACCAACAAGAGATCTGTGTTTCTGAAATAAAACGCTAACTTTTCATGCCAATATATATATTTATTGTTTGGGAGAACATCATTTACTAAACACGCATTAGAACTTTACAATATTGGTTATTTAGGGTACTGTATTTTAACTCAGCATCAGTCAACCTTTCTGAAATGCAGTATTTTCTTCCTTCTTTAATATTTATACTAATAACAATGGTACCTAACATTCACTGACTGATTACTGCATTCCTATGCATTCTGCTCATTAACTTGCAACACCTCTATGACCTGGATACTCATTATTGCCATCTTAGAAGTGAGGCACAAACGTGTGAGTACCTTGCCTAAGGTTAATAGCTAGCGAGTGGTAGAGCCATGCGTGATTTGAGCTAGATGGTCTGGCTTTAGCATCAACTCATTTTACCACTGTGCCATACTACATGCTGAGATATAGGTTAGTGAGTTAAATCTGTAATGTTTACAAAATGCCTGACTAGGGATTGATTCAAATTGAGTGAAAATCAGAAGTGTGACTCTGAGACTATGGTACAGTGAACTTTTACAATATTTCTGAAAGATACTTTATATAGAAATATACCTTATTCAGTTAACACAGATTCTTGTTTTCTGAGCTTTAATCTGGTTCCTTATAATGGAGAGAGGAAAAAAAAAGCTTAAACCACCCCCCTTCAGGTTCTATAATGAAGCTCAATTTGTCAAAGAATGTTTGGATGAGACTATGAAAATAACAAAAATGGCACTTTGTATTTGTATAGTGTTTTATTTTTTTTAATGTTTATAGTGTTGAATTCTTTATTATAGGAGAAACGATTCTTTACCTTGCAAAAAAGATCCAGTATTTTCCAAGAATTACATTATCGCATTCATTTAACTAATGTTTTAACTAATGAATTTCCTAAAGCTGTACAAATATTATCCACTGTCCTCTGTAGTCGAAAGGGAAAAAATATATGTCATTGAGCTACTGGCCTAAGGATTGTTGGTCTAATAGGGAAAGTTTACTTTCCTGTTAATTTCAAAGGGCTTTTAAAAATTAATGGTGTGGACAATTCCTATTGGATTGCACAGGAACCAGTCTTATCCTCTGCTTCGTTAATGAGAATTCCATTGTGTGGAAAACTGTCCTGGGAAGCTTGAGGCCTAATGAAAAGTCTCCATGGTGTTAGCTGTTTATCTCAAGCCATCTGGGCGGATTTGAGATGGGACTTGGTATTATTAGGCTAGTGAAAAACACTCCCTATCTGCAAGCTGATATGATTCTTGAATTACCCTTATAATCATCCTTGTCAAAGATTTGTCCTGCTATTATAGATGACTATAATAGCCCCATAGTCATCTGGGAGCTCATTGCTTCTTAAGGCTGCCCTAACTTCCTTCCTCTGTTCTTCCCTTTATTCTTTCTCCCTCTCTCCCTCCCCTTTCTCTCTCCCTTTCTTTTTACCAGTTCCTTATAATATCAACACATTGTTTTTTAAATTCTTTCTTCAAGACCACACAGAACAAATCCATTCTCTCCTTTTATAATTGTGGCTGGCACATAGTAACATTCAATAAGTGTTAACTCTTTATCTTCTTGTACTTCTGCAAGTATTTGGAGGATTTTTGACTCAACTACAGTGTTCCACATATATTATTTTATTTATATTTTTGCTTTTCAAATTCGCAAAATTAAGCTGAGGAAAATGTATAGCTCCTTTTATTAGTTCACTGTTTCTCCTAGCTTTGCATTAACCACGTATTTGGGCCTCAAACCTATTCAAAGGCATGATCAAGGATCAAGGATGGAGGCCTACTGTTTTCAAAGACTTCAGGTTATTTGGGCCAGGCCTTCCTTGAAGCACAGGGCTTTGCAGTCTGTTTCTCGCAGGGAAGGAGCACTACTCTCCTACATAATGGGAAAGGCACCTGAAAGTTGAGCTCTAACAGACCCACATTGAAAACACAGCTCTAGTTTGCTTTTCACAGATTAAAAATTCATTTTGAAAAAACACATTGCTACTTTTCTCAGCTCAGTTAAAGGGAAAGGGGAATTATCAGTGTCCTTGGTGATCATTTGTGGGGCTTTTGGTGGCAGCTGCCACTCCAGCCTGAGAACGGGTCTATGTAGGCACTTACTGTTTGGGAAACATCTCTTCATAAACAGGCATTAGAATTTTATGTTTGGCTCTTTAGGATCCTGAATTGTAACTCAGCATTGGTCTTTTGCCTCTACAAGTGCCAGACTGGATTTTTTTTTGGCAATTTTCTTGGGCTCATAATGCTTTGAAATGGGAAGGACTGGTAGAACTGGTCTAGGA